AGCCGGTGCACTTTCGGTACAATGTTTTTGCTCTTTCCTGTCGGATGAGAAAATGGAATGCAACTTGACGAAGTGGAAGTTGACATTCGAATTTTGACAGTTTCGAATAATGTGAAATGGTTCGTTTCGACTTGGCTCTCCTCGTGAGATTATAACTCACAACCGTCGTGCCCCACTTAATTCACAACAAATAGGAAATAGTATCATTCTTGCCCCACAAACAGAAATTCCTGCTATCTTTCTTCAATCATTTATGACCTTCCATCTGCGAAAAGCGAGTTAAATGCAGATGGGTAAATTCATGCGTGTTCTGTTTGTCTTTCTTAATTTTTAACTTTCACAGATTTTCAGAGATTTTACATCATCCATTGAAATACAAATTTGCCAATTTTATTTGCGTCCCGCAAAAAGAAGTAAACACGGATCCCTATAACCACCTTTGGTTACTTCATTATTTTAAATTCCAACCCTTATGGAAACTGAATTCGAGCGTTCCTACTCTTTTAATCCGACATTCCGACAGAGAGAGGGTGATATGTATGAGGATGATAATGGATTCTGCTGCTGATTGTTGTTGGAAGAGGTTGGATGATTTTCTCTCTCTTTCTTCCTTGTCAATTTGAATCTATGATTTCCAAGCTGACATTAATCCTCACCTTGTTAAAATTGACTGACGTTTTGAACGTTCCATTTTGTACACAAAACACAATGGCCAAGTCAAAAATGGACAAACAAAATGTTAGTGGATGGATACCTGCTAATTCCTCCATGCACGTTGCCCTGTATCGATACGATATCGTATTAAGTAAAGGGTACAGGAAAATAGGAAGGAAAATAGGAAGGAATTCCATCAAGCCTCTGGGGGTGGTCATTTGACACATGTAACAGAAAAAGTTGAACCTCGGTTTACATATACTTGGACCAAGAAAGTCCTTCCTCGTAATCGACGAGGACCAAGCAATAGTAATAATATTTAATAATAATAGCTGCGGTGCGGTGGTGAGCTGCATACGACGACGAGCACCCCTTTCTTTATCAGTGTCCAACTCGTCCTCACTCACTTGACCAACCACAACCCACCACTAACCACGGAGGTATTATCGCACAGCGTAAAAAACTAGTCTTCGGGATGGTTGTGTGTGTTGTACTTGTTCCAATGTTGTGATCCCCCACCACCGCTAACTACTGGTAAAACATGACTTTTACCTGTTTAATCCAGTAATCCGCTTTTTTCCATTATGGAAACCTTAGCTTTTTAAGCTCCACTTGAGCCACGACACTTTATGTTCTTCAGGTTTGTTTATATTTGAGTATTTAGTGTCGCAATATGATTATGATGTGTTGCTATTTATTATATGTATATGCGTATTTAGTAATATTTCATGAAATTGCTTGCTTATTCGCGAATATGCATAAGGTAAAATTGTAATTTCTAGTAGAAATTTTCCAGAACTTTCAGTAAATGCGTGTATGCGTTCAAATTGAAGGAGCGTGTGAAAGATTACGCAAGAAAACCGGAAGGAAACGAAAACTCGACTTTCCCAAGTTCACACGGTGTCACGCAATAAATCATCGAGTCACGTGGACCTTGTTTCATTCAACTCATTAATAAACATTCAATTATCTGGTTTACCAACAGCATCATATTGTTTAAGGTTGTAAATCTTTCCCTGTTTCTTCTAAATGATGCGAATGAGAGGAGACAAGATAAGGACAGTAATAATAATACATCACCAAAGGATGAGATAGGGTGCACAGCACTTGTACATAGGTTATCATCAAGGTGCTCCCTGTGAGACTGTATCAATCGAGTGCACTGCGATTATTGTTAGTCATAAACTTGTATTTTGTAATGATTATTATTGCTCCCATTAAACGGCATTATGTTGCTCCTGTGAAGTTCAAAGGTGAGCATCAGCAGCATCCAGTGAGAGGTATATGAGGGTCATATAACCTCAGAGTCAACCTCTTTCTTCCGTCCAATAAAGTTTGTTATACTCGTGATAAATGGTGGTATTTAGTTTTGCTGTAATGTTCAGACCTCGTCACCAGGTAGGTTTTTGGGCCTGTGTCCCTCTCGTTTTGTTGTAGTGCAATGCATACATAAGTAATAGTGGTTAGTTTGTCTCTTTCTCAGGTATAATGAGTGCCATAAAAAGTGTTCCGTGTCCTCAAGTCAAACATTTGGAGAGAGAGAGGTTATTTGACTCTTGTTGTATTCTCGGTGGTTTTTCACTTGGATTGGCATTAAGTCCCCTGCAAAGGAAAGCTGGCTGGACGTTCCCACGCCTTTCCGATTTATTGGCCCGGCGTTTTAAAATTTCAAACATTTAAGAATCCATTATAACCAAACCGAGAGAGAATGGTATTGACTTTCGAGAATGCTGCTAAGCCCATTAAATTAGCCAGAGCACCTTCTTCCTCACTCCACGAGAGAGATAATGCAGTTTAGTTTTACTTCTTGAACCTTAAAGACCATTGAACAAGTTGACAAGCGGACAAGCGGAGGAGATACACGAGATGACGAGAGGAGAAACGTCCCAGTGCCCACTGCGTACTTATGTATGGCATAAGAAGACGAAGGGCTCCTCCAAGTGTCCAGTTATATTATCATAGAAGGAACGGACGACGGTGGCATTATGTTGTGCTTACTGACTTCAACTTGCTTAATACTATATGCTCATTATTCCCATTGCTATGTAGCTGTTTACTTGTGTGTTGTCCCTTTGACGAGCTCAAAAGACTCGATTTAAGTGACGAGATGGCCGGCAACGATAGACGAAAGATAAGAGATGGATGGTTTGTTGATTTTTGTATGGACAACAGGCACATTCCATTTGCCCAAATGTCTACCATTTAGTACATTTACCCTGTTACTTACTGGTCTACCTTTCTTTCGCCGTGAGGAGCATGATGATGATGATACCACTACTACTTTTGAAATAATAACAATAGTAAGGGCCATATCCAACTAATAAGCTTAGGTGGTGAGCACTTGGTGCACCCAACCAGCAGCAGCAGACACTTATTTAGCTGACTTTCTTCCTACATACCACAGCACCACCACCTTCGTCTCAAACCTCAAGCAAGCCGATCAAGGTGCAATAATCGTAATTTCCATTTGACTTTAAAAGAGGAGACGGTGACAATGGGCCGTTCGTTCCCACGGCTTTGCAATCCAATCGTCGTCCCATCCCAGGAGTGGAAAAGATACAAGAAATAATAAAATCTTGGCCTCCCCATCATAAAATAATTCATTATTTCTCTATAGCATACAGACTGCGACGAGAAATACTTGCACTTCGTGCTACACATTGGTTCCGGTGGAGATGAAGATTGATAATGATGAATGGCATGGGACAATCTTCTTTATGCAAACACAAACAAACACTATTTATCAACATAATATTATTAGTTCTTAAGCCATGACAAAGTACGATGATGACAAAAGTTCTTTGTTGCTCCACATCAGGACATGCATGCAGGTCATAATTGGTGTAAAGTCTTTTAAAATGATCCACTAGGTGGAGAAGAAAGATTGATCAGATTGATATGAAATCGAGTTGACACGAACTTTTTATGCTGCAATAATGTTCACTAATAATAAGAAAAGTGCTCGCGTCTCCTTTTATTCTTTCCAGAACAATATCATGTTCCTTTACCACACGTAGATGTACATACGCAACCAAGCACTAACCTGTAGTCAAATAAATATGTTGCATGGTCAACTCGTGGTGATATTTACGTAACAATTATTTTTTTCAATGGATGGATCTCAGTCAGACCATGAACTTGCATCGATCACGAATAATAAAAGATGACTGATACAAAAATGGTGACTCCATATAATGTTTCCCATCGATAAAACTACCACAAAAATGTCGGACCATAAAAAAAACTCTGTCGTACTTTATTTAGAGACGTATGTACCAAATTTACAACTTGCCAGCTACGAGAATTGCTCTAATTTCATTTGTCTTATCGGCCCAGAGAGAAAACAAATTAATTAAAGTTCAAAAATACATGCCATTGAACCTTAAGAAATTAACGTGACAAAAACCGCCCTCATCAAGAGGTCATAACATAACCCTTCCGGAGAACTGAAACGTAATGACCCAGTTATCTGGGGTGTTTCATTGTAATCAATAAATAAATAGGTAGGCAGGCTTGGTTTGAATACTTAATAGTGAACAAGAAGAGTGAGTCTCATGGTGAAGGTATGCGTTAAATTTTGTGATTCTTGATCAGGAAGCATTATTATTACACTCACTCAATCCCCGAGCTTTTTATACACATTTCGTCCAACGGGAAGATCTTTTTGGTAGAAAAAATGATGTGAGAAGTTTTAGATAAGGAATTGTTATTGACAGACTGACGTTGAATGTAGTGAGTGAGGTTAATACTTCAGTAATGTACGAATGGATGGATAAGGGTTTTGAGACTCCTCGTAATAATAATTTATATTTATAATATAACATATTACGCTTTATATTATATAACAATGCGTATTATGGTCTCTGACACTTCAAAGCACTTACTCAGTCACTCCTCATCTTCTTACTTACATACAAGTAGATAAAAGTATAAATGTCTAAATGCCACTTTTAAATGTTTAAACGGTTAGTTGAGAGGTTTTACAAGGTGATAAGTTGAAAAATAAATGCGGATTGAGACGAATGAGAGAATTATTTCATGTATGTTTCATATGGCTGGTTAAAAACAACATAACGTTCTTTCCTGTCATTGACTTTGTGTGTCATGCAGTAAATATTTCACAAAACTGGAAGTTTTCCACTAATCTTTCGAATTTGCATGGAATATTATTAAGGAAATTATGGCAAAATGTACAGTTTTCCCCACAGAGCTGTTTTCCATGAGTTTGCATGGAATATTCTCCGAGACATTATGACAAATAAGTCGCATCGCACACAAGAAACGGTGCGATTGTCATGAGAAAACATGAGAAAAATGTGGCTCGGAATGAGATTAAGTTTACTCACCTGTGTCATAAGTCGGTCAGCACCTGAACCTTCATCATCCCTAAAAATAATATCCGGGTTGTAGTTGGGCACAAGATTCTTGAACCGTTTTTCTCCTCGGGTGATATTCCCTTCTGGCAAACCCGACGCGGACAACGCGTTTTCGGGAACATTAGGCACATGCTGGTCATACACTAGGGGGGTTAACTTTCGAGGTGCCCGTCTCCTCCCGGCCCCACGACCGGGCCCACACGACACTGCGGACCCCAACAAGATCAACAAGTAAAACAACACGAGGAGTGACCACGTCGAGAGGAGACGAGGGGGACGTGATGATCCGCTATTTTGCGACATTTTTCACTTTTTATTGGTTTTGAGTGGTGAAGAAGTTTTTGAGTCTACTTGGGCAGAGCTTCAGCTTTTTTGCCATGATGATGATGATTTCTCGAGTAGTATAATTAAACTCGAGGTAAATGAGACTGCTGAGAGTTCGCCTGTGTTGCTGACACTTAAGGAGACAAGAATGGGAATCAGACTAAAAACTCAAACTAAGGCAATGTGAGTAAAGGATGATGATGATGATGGTGTGCAGGCAGGGTGTAAAGTTTGGTGTGGATGAGATTCCCAAAATTTCAACACACTTACTTGCCCACAATAAAAGAACAACACTGAGGTTCTTCTTCTTCTAGGCACCGACCCACTGGTCAGAGCCAAAGCCAACTAAATGGGCAGATAGATAGGAAAAGAGTGTAATAAAGTGTAAGTTGAAGGTATTGTGAGATGTAAGTAGCCTTAAGTATTATTTAGATGGTTGAAGTCAAAATTCAAAGACGACCTGGGTCTTTCTCACAACCGTGGTGTTTAACTCATTGGATAGGTGATCGTGGTAACAATATTATGCACACCTAACCGACCAACGCCACAAGAGGTGGACTGATACCGGGGATGATGATTCTTTGGGATGGGTGGGTGGATGGATGGCTTCAATGGATGGACGGACAAGGTTTTCTACCTATTTGTCTATCTCACTCAAGATCCGAGAAGAAACTCGTACTTAATCCTCTCCTGACCGATCTCGTTAATTTTCTCATCCTCCTCAACCCATTCCATCCAAAAATACTCACTCACTCACTTACGAGGAAGTCAATGACAACACAATTGTTTAATTCAATTTCGAAAAAATTGTAAATTGTAGGAGTTTCCACCAGAAAATGTTTTTAGTTCGTTCAAGTACGAGAGATACTCGACCAGAGAAGAAGCTCGGAATGACCAGGTCGACTAACCACTGCTGTCCTACTATAAAGTTGCTATTCTTATTAATAGAATCCTAGCCTTCTTACCCCTTTGAACAGCTTATAAAGAATGCACGAGATTTTATTAAGGAATAATGAAAACCATTAGGCAACGACGTTTGTTTATGGATATGGCAATAATAATAATCAATATACGTTCAATACATACGTTACACGTTCGAGGAAATGAATGTAGCAACTAAATATAAGTTGTACCAAAAACGACGGCAAGGACACAACTTTATCAGAACAACCATTTGAAATTATAAAGTGAGAAATTCATGTACGTATTTTAGACTGACTTCATGACTGCAGACTTTTTAGCGAGTACATAAGTAATGCGAATATTAAAATAATAGCTCAAATTAATGTTCTGATTTTGACACGCCTGAGTAAACGAGGAAGATCAGTTGCTCAAGACGTTTGGCAATTAATGTCGCCGTGTAATCGTGGGGCAAATAGAATGTAGCATTATTTATTGCTATTAGTCATACAAACATTTGTTAACTGTTGTTCGTCATCGTAATATTTTTTGTCGCAAGTTCCCCCCCCCCTCCACCGTCATCCCTTTCCTTGTGAGGTTTGGTACGTTAGTTATTAAGGTTTAGAAAATTGATACACTTTTTTATCTGCAGAGTCGACGTAGAAAAAAATGCTTTCTACGTCGTTTCGCATGGATTTGCTAACGATTTGCTAAATAAGATATACAAATGCAAAAAAATGCGATTCTGAGGATGATGTAAGGTCAGAGAAGATGGAAGAATTCGATATGTGTCTGGAAATTTGAGCGTTATTTATTATTGTCAATGCAATGATTTAGTTTTCTTATTTAGATTCGTATGTTTATTTTTCTCTTCTTCGCCTTCCCTCGTTTGCTTATGAAGTCCAGAAAATATAATCTGTTACTTCTTACGAGTTTGTGTGTGTGTGCTTTTATTCTAGATAAATTCTTTCACGATATTCTAATGCCGTGTAACGGAGCTTGCACTGTGACTCAGATAGTTAAATTAGAATAATGGCAGGAATAATGGAATAATGGAATTGCTGAATAAAGTCAATATGTATTTTAAACTTATCCGGTCGATATATTGATGCGGCTCGGATTTCCTAAATTCCTACGCTCCAACTGGTTTTACATAATTTTATCCGCATTCAAACCATTGCATGCAAAGATTATTTCAGATTTAATGCTGATTTGTACCTGTTTTACACATTAGATTAAACTCTGGAATCTTCCAAACTTGTGTGTTCTTGTTATGTTTCTATTTTAGGATCATGCTAATTATTAGTATTCCAGTCCAATGACTTATTTTGCAGCGGACAATGGTTTGCCCCTTTCGCGAGGGTATTTAAGGGCCAGGAAATTTGTAGATATCGTCAGTCTTTCTTGAGAGGTCTGTAGGGAGAAATTGCCCGGTTGGGGGACTTTCCAACTTCACCGGGTAATTTCATCCAGATAGGCTTTCTCTGTCATTCCACCATTACGGAACCTCCATTTTCTTGTCCTCGTTCCCACCGGATTTTTGCTGGTGACCTCACAGAGATTGATCCATCTTTGGTTGTCTAGCTCTATGACAGTTATTTGAAACCATAAAGCTAGGTTAGCAAAGATAGGTCGGTCTCTTTTCAGCAAGAAAAGAAGCCATCAGTTCCTGACCACTACTTCACCAATTCTGAAGGAACTAGAGGTTGCGATAATGGACGAAAGCCAGTTGCTCATTTCTACTAAGTTATATTTAGTCGAAATGTGCATCTGGATAAGTTATCACAGCCTATAGTTCTCGAGAAGGGGGAACAAACTCGTCGCTGGACTTTGGACCGTGGTCAAAATCGTGCCCCCCTCCGGACCTCAGGTCGTGTAGAGTCACCTTCAGGTTGAGCATTAGTTGGGTGTCGGTCTAGACCATGTCGACAGTTTTCATGACTAGATCGTACACTCGACTCACGCTCAAACCGAGACATTCAGCAAACTCTACTTTCACCTTGAGATGCGAAGCAGCGTGTCGGGTTGCCCTTGTCCCCGCGTAACTCTCGAATTTTGAACATCTGACTAAACTCCAGAGTTTTTATGTTGTTGTCGTCGTTTCTGAAAATTTTTGAAGTGCGCAAATTTCGAGACGTTATTGGTGCTTTGGGTTGAAATTTGGCATGTTTTGTGACACAGTTAGTCTGCTAATTGTGAGGTTGTCGTCTTTGTCAAGTTTAAGCCCCTCTTAAGAAATTCTTGCCAGTCACCGAGTATATAGAGATACATCATCTTATCACTTATCATCATCCATCACCATATTCTTGCGTAGTAGATCCTGTAATGACATTGTAAGTTAAACTTGGACTTTGCTAAATTATTTCTTGGGCAGAATTGATTATCTGAAATGAATATGTAAATTGAGGTCATTATTTGCATTATTTACTTTATTGTCCAGGTTGTAAGAGGAAATAAGGACTGAAAAAGTAAAAACTGCAGTCAGCGGAGCCAGCTTTGCTTTTCCATCATTTCACCTTTTTCGTGGTGATTGCGGTTAATGGTGGTGTTGGCTCCGCTGTCAATTTTTGAAATTGGAACATTTTAAGATTCTTTATAAGCCTCTGGTAGCTGGTGATAATGATTACTGGTAAGAGTAAATTGTTCAATATTTAGTGTTAAAATTGTATTTGCATTTTCACATTTTGCATTGCTAAATATGCGTCTTGGGTTCAATAATTATTCAGCACTCACAGAGTTGTTGGATAAGGTGGACGTGTCGAAAAGCAATATTTTTTCGCGTCCAGCATTTCTGACTCCCAGAAGTCCAATGGGATTATTCATTCGTGCATCGATGGAAGGATTGAATGATGCAAGTTTTCCAAATCACAACGCAGAACCCACATCCACGTATGTCTCGGTGGGAAGTACCTTCTCGACCCCTCAGCCACACGTGGATCACACAACAAATCATGGTCTCCCAGCGCACAAGTCATCCACAAAAAATATGATTCTTGGCTTCAGTAATCCATTCAATTGGAAAGAATGTACGGCTCCAGGATGCAAAGAAGGAGATTCGGTATTGACAAGATTGGCTCCTTCTAGCGAAACACAAATTCAAGTTATAGAATGGAATATGATGGATATGAAGAAGTTTTATCCCCTCAGCATGGTTAGCTCGTTTTTCATCAGATGTGTTCTATATCCTCTCACCCTCGTCAAGACAAAAATTCAGGTTAGTCCATCCAAATTACAGATATTAAATTGTTAAACACGCTAAACAATCTGCTGGAAGAAATGTCGCAATATCGTATCTAATGTGGTCACCAGTATTATTATTTTAAATTTAACTGATCTGTCAATCCGTCATTGTTTTTTTGATTATAGATTCAAGAAAAGGCCAATGTATACAATGGAACGATCGACTGTTTCAGAAAGATTTATCAAGGAGAAGGAATGCGTGGGCTGTATAAAGGTTTCTGGATCTCGGCTTTTCAAATTGTATCCGGCGTATTCTACGTCTCCACATACGAAGGAGTTCGACACTCCTTGTACCTGCGTGGTTTTAAGGATAGGTAACAAAAATTAATATAGCGACATTAATCAGTTTCAATCTATTATTAGCAAGTTTATTTAATGTCATTACTTTCATTTTTATTTAATTCTTTGCAGCCATATCCGCGCTTTGATAGCAGGTATTAAAAATAATAATTTGCATGATACATTACAAATCTAGCATGCAAATCGTATGTTAAATTACATGTAGTAAACATGTAAATATAACGTCTTTAAATAATGTAAAAATTTATAGGAGGATGTGCTTCCGTTGTTGGACAAACAATTATTGTACCTTTCGATGTCATTTCACAGCACATGATGATTGTTGGAATGAGGCAGAACAATTTACCAGGAGGGTAATTAATTTTGATTACATACTTACAAATAATATTGTAATATTACTTTCATAAACTGAATGTTTTGGAATTTCAGGAGCGTTTACAACCCTTTAGGTATACAGTATGAAGGTCGTACAAAAGTTGAAATCACAAAATCTATCGCTAGAGAGATATATAGTCGAGACGGATTTCGGGGTTTTTATAGAGGCTATTTTGCATCACTAACGACTTATGTTCCTAATTCTGCTTTGTGGTGGGGATTTTATCAAGTATATCAAGGTAAGTGACTGCTGGTTCCTTGTTTTTCATACCCTTGACAGATTGTTAATGCGCTCTCGCTTTTTGTTGTTTCAGATGAGTTGATAAAGATTGTTCCTACTGGTTGCTCCCACTTGGTCGTACAGTGCATTTCAGCGATGCTTGGTGGCTGGACTACGACTATCATAACAAACCCTCTAGACGTATGCCGTGCTCGATTGCAGGTTTTTTTGCAAGCTTAACAAATTTCATTTGTACGCGTACAGTTAGCTAATGATTTGAAAACATTTTATTTTCCTAGGTTCAACGTCTGCCTTCTTTCCCGAAAACGTTTTTAATGTTGTGGCACGAAGAGAAGTATCGGATTTTTACAAAAGGACTTTCCGCGAGGATGGCTCAATCAGGGGTATTTAGTACCTTCATAATTTTCGGATACGAGTCTATAAAACGATTCAGCGTAAACGAAGACTATAGAGATATTGTACGCTGGTAGCAAAAGACCCCATTCGTACAAATAGCATCGATATTCAATTACTATACTTAGTCTCTGTATCGTCTGCGTCCTTGTCGTCAAAATTACTCTTATTGGTAGCTAAAATTAATGATATGTCTGTGATTAAATAACTTAACCAAATAGGCTCATAAATACAATGATCCACTAAACTGGCAAAAAATTACAACACAATTAGAAATCTCTATTTAATGTCGGGCTGGTTTTCCGAATGTAATAGTATAAATGAATGTCAGGGTTTTTTTTGGTTATCTGAAATTTAGTCGGTGTTTATTTCGTTTAAGGAAATCAGTTGCAAAATTTCAATCACATTTAGTATTTGTTTATCATCGGTCACAAAAATCGTTGAGCATACAATGGTGCCATTCATGATCGAACTTGAATGAGTTCTAATGAATTTCGACAATAACTAAATATGTTTAATTTATAGCTCGCATATTCCCATAAAAATGATAAAGAAATATCGGACAATTCAGTGAAAACTAAATGTTGTTAAAAATTGGTAGTTAATAAATGCGTACATTTCCATGTACTCTTGTTTATTTCTAGTCAATTTAACTAATCTTTTATATAGAATCAAAACTGCTGGTCACTGTTAAATTAAGCTTAACTTATGTTTAACAAAAAATACTGTTATTTAATGAAACGACCAGCGAGAAATTGCATTTTGATGTTAGTTAATATATATTGGTTGGCAATACATACGCAGGTTAAGCCCATTAGTTAGTCATCATGTAAGTAGTTTTAATTTATATATGAAATGTTCAACTGATGTAGTCTTGAGTTCTCAATTAATTAATAAGTTTCAAAAGCACTTACTGCCTTGCTCTTATACTATTTCTTTATTTGTGTTACTTAGCCAGTTATTGTTAAAAATGATTTGTTTGTCAAAGGAGAAAGGAGAATAGAAACTCGGTTCGCTAAATACTTGCGAAGTAGTCATGAAATAGTGAGTTATTTAAGACAACCACAGCAAAAAAGCAGATTACTATCTTATGCTATGATTAAGTATGTTATAAAGGTGTGTGTCATCATGCAGTATAGCTCAAATTTTCCTAATCATACTCAAAGTACTAGAAAGTACTTTGGTATTGCCATGAACTGAACTGGAAACTCGACAAAAAGCTCTTTTTATCATTAAGTTTTACGTATGTGACTGATCTGAGAAGTAGAAAGGGACGTGTGTTAGTTCAAATTTGATTTTCTTGGATAACTTGTTGTTGTCTTGAAAAAGGTTCTGGTGACATTAAACTTATACTGTCAACTTATGTCTGTTTATACTGATATGTTATGCTCCGTGAAATATAAACTCTCCGCTGTTATAAACACAGGAAAAAAAAACTAAGCAAAGTTATTGTGTGGGAATCATTTATTAGCATAAAATAGTTGTCTATTAATACGGAAAACGTATACACCAAGATTGAGCACAAATTATCACAACTTGCATTTCATTTTACCACTACTCAGGTATTGCTTGTTTATTCTCAACGAGGCCTTTTTGTTTATTTTTTCCTTTAATTGGGTTCTTAAATTTATACCACTTTTTCTTCTTTTCTGAAGATAAGAGGTGGGTGTTGGAGTTGATGGAGAAAGTATCGGAGCTAATGCTGTTGTTCCCTTTGATTTTTAATTTTGACATATCCGCTCCAGTAGCAAAGTTATAGGATGGAGGCGGAGAATCAACAGAAGGATCCTTGGGCACCTTCTTTTCCGAGTCCCACCATTTGAAGGCGTCATCGTCTATCATTTTAGAATTTCCATAATTTTCAAATTGAACTAAATTCACTCATATATATATAAGTTAGTAAGTTATATTATCTATAACTACGAACCAGAAAGTGGTCCTACGAGTTTTTGACTAGGTGTGGAGGTAGAAGTAGCAACATCTGACCTGGGTGTTCTTATAGATTGGCTCAATTTGTCCCAAAAATTGTACAATGTTCCTGAACGCCCATATTTAATGGAGAAGGCATAACGAATACTTGGTGGTAACTGGCACTCTTGATATACACATGGGACTATCTTCCGTGCTCTTGATTCTAAAAATACAATGAACAAAAATCGTATTTGTTAATTAGTAATAAAATTAATTATGAAAGTAAAGTATTTACAAAAATAAAAGTGTGTAAAAATTAACATAAACACAAACCTAAAGCAGAAGCCTGAGCGTACGATATTAAAAAATTGTTGGCAGAGCTTTTTAAAAAGTTTGGTGATAATATCACAAGAAATCGGTTACAACGCTCTTCGATAAGTCTTCCTATCACTTCATTTTCGAACATAATGCCAGGGAGCAAGTCTCTATCTTTAACGCATAACTAAAGTTTAAAGAAAAAATAAAGAAACCAAAAATCACACGTAAAGCCAAAAATTGTTATAAGAAATAATTTCAAAAATAAAGAAAAATTAATTGTAGTCGTAATTTATTTACCTTGAGTTTATATTCTTGTTCTAATTTTTCGATTACTTGACCTGCAAACCCTGAATCTTCATCAGCAAACAAAATAAATGCGTCGTATCTTGTCAAGGGAAGATTTTTATGAATCCTTTCACTGTCCTCTACAAATTTCGTAAGAAATCATGAGCTCATACATAAATTTACATACATCCCATCACTCTAAATTTATAATTTGTCTACCTATTGTAATAATACTATTGTCATACGCAGGATTCATTTGTGCGGTCGCAGTTGATTGTGAATTCTGTGCAACTTTGTACGCCTCTGCATCACTAGCTGAAAATGTTATAGGCATATGTTTTTCCATTACATCAAATTACAAATTAATTTGAAGTGTTCCTTCCAAAATACACAACATACCCAACAACGGATGAATGTCATCAACCACATCGAATCGGTCAATAACGGCTAAAAATGCTTTCAAGTCGCTAAATAATTTGCATTGTGATTCAGGCGATTTGCACCATTGCTGTATCAACTGTGCCATGGGGTCTTGCTTGGTATGAAGAAATGAAATTATCTCGGAGGATATTCCTGCCAATTCTGCTAAACCACGCCAATCCCTGTAATTAACATATAGTAGCAAACATGTTTAAATTCTACGAATAGTTTGTCAATACTTTTGAGTGACACATTGAGTGACACAGGGCGAAAACAATGAAAACATGCTGCATGCATGCACATATACATGATTATTTTTTTACAAGTAAATTGGCCTCACCGAGGTAAACCATTTTCTGTAGGAATAATTTTTATGGGATTCAGCATAGTTGAAAGCATCGTTTGTGAAGATGGGCGCAGAGCTGCCACTGGAGCATCAAATTCGGCAGATGCTGAGGTGACATTATGTCTTTCAGGATCATGGCCTGCCATCATCATCTTCCAATTTTTGAAGCAACGCCACCACCAGTCATGAGTAAATTGAGCTGTTTATTCATTCAGTAATGGGAACATCTAAATACGCAGAAAGAAAAAAGAAAAGCAAAATAATTAGTTTGCTACTTGTTTAATTTTCCAAATGTCAAGGATCACAGTGTGCATAATAACAAGTACATATGTATACGTATGCAATATACACGTATGGAGGATGATTTGATTTATATGTATGATTGACTAATATGTATAAAGCACAGGATTTAATGAAAAATCTTATAGAAATTCTACTAGCCGAATGAATAGTGTATTTAAAATTGTAATTTAATTTCATGAGTAGGTAGAAAGGTTGAACTACATACATACATACACAGGCAGGATGATGAAGGGGTTGCTATCTCATGTGAATGCGACTTTGAGAGAAATGAGACCAAATGAGAGAAATGTCAAACTTCCAGGATAACTTTTAAATAAGTAATATTTCAGTTTACGCGTGGGCAAGTAGCTCATTAGCAAATTTTCTCAATCCGAATTTAATTTAGGAAAAGCAATTGCGTGTTTTGGCATGAAAACATCAACATCGTACCACCACATCCTCCTCATGTCCTATTATATGTCCTTGTAAGTAGTCAGTACAAGTAGTTCTAGTCGTTGTAGTCAGTGGTGGCGAAGAAAGAACCTTCAACAACATTGGCCTTTGCTCCTGCTTTCTCTTTCTCTCATCATCTCATCATTATCATGTACATACAACTTGGAAAATAGATCACCACCACCACCACCACGACTAAATAGTACTAACAACTACTATACTTTCCCAATTAATGTGATAAAGTCCCTTTGTACAAAATTCCGGGACGTGGTGGAAAACAAGAAGCAAATGAGCGTGCAAAGTACATCTGTATAGTATAATTTGCGAATACTCTGAATTGTTGCAAATCCGCTCAGATTACTTTTTCCTCTTTTATTCCCCTTCTTCTAATTAGTTGGGTTACAAAATGGTTTAAAATAAATGTGCCGACAAGGAAGCAGCAACAGCAACAGACACCTGTTAGTGCTTTCTCCAGGGAGAAACCAATTTCTCTCGCTTTCTCCTCACATTTTCCAGAGAAGGAGTGAATAATATCAAATTTGAAACGTTATTACTAGAGAAGAACGTACCCCAGTGGAAATTTCTTAAAGGGCAGATAGTCCTCGGATTCCATAATGACAAGTAATGGAGTGGGTGTGGGGGGTGGGTGGTAGTGTTGAGTAGGTGTGCTTTCTCTTTTGTCCTCGTCGTCTTTTTCTTGGTTTTGTTGGCCGTGCAACCAGTTGTGTTGTTGGTTTGGTGCGATATCCTCCCAATGCATTGCTACTGCCTATATACATAACATTCTCTCCTTCAACGTGGTGGTGGCATTGAGTGGAGAGTTGGTGGTGGTGGGCCGAAACTGCTAAACCCACACACGTGAGGTGAGGAGAAAGTGGTCGGGGAGAAAGATGGCCTCGTCTCACCGCTTTCTCCATCCATCCACCACCACCATCCAGGCAGTGCTCCCACTTATTCTCCACACACACACAGCCCGACCACTCTCCTCTGTCAGGTTGAGAATGTGTTATTGTGCGAGAATAGAAGAGGCAGAAAGAGAGAGAGAGTCGTCGAGAGAGAGAGAAAGAAAGAGAGAGTTTCTGTGCCATTCCATCTGCCGCGCTACCCCCCACCGCCCCATATTCCTACACCACAGCTCACTAAAGGCAAAGGCGGAGTCTCCCATAACACGTAACACCACCAACTAATAACTCCTACCATTGTGCATGTATGTGTATGATGCTGGATGTGTGTGGTTGGACGAGAGGGTGATACTGCCCGTGCTGAAGAAAGCCCATCTCTGTTCTGTCTGTACTGCTGGCTGGGCCGGTGCTAGTAGAGTCCTATCTCCAAGTGGCTGGGAAACATCATCTCTGTTTTCCGTGTAAAAAGAAGGAGAGTGAGTGAGTGTGTATATATGTAGCTCTGCTGCTGCTCCTGCTCTCTGATGATGATGGTCGTGCTACTGCTTAGATAGGAGTCAGACTGCCACCACCACCACCACTTCTTGTAATATTGAGTAGAAGGCGAGAGTAAAAGTAAGTAGCAGTGTCGTGGATTCATCCAAAGGAAAAAGAGAGACCGGTCGGTATGACGAGGACTTAAGTCGCCCTTCTACCCTCTTTTTGATGGCCCGAGTCGAAAGTGTCCTCTTCCACTGAATGCGTGTGTGGGGTGTGTTTCATCTGTGACCGTTTGTGTGGGTGTGGTTACCACCACCACCACCGCCGCAAGCAGCCGCCGCATCAGTGTTGCACAAACATCACCATCATCAGTCATCATGATGGCGTGTTGTCTCTCGGAGGAGGCCAAGGAGCAGAAGAGAATCAATCAGGAAATCGAAAGACAACTCAGGAGGGACAAACGGGATGCGAGAAGGGAACTTAAATTGCTGTTATTGGGTGAGTTTGTCGCCTAGTTCGACGACGACAAGGCAAAAAAGTAGGGTGAGACGAAAATGAGATTTGAGAGAGGGTGTGAGGAGTATTTGGTTTGTTTGTTTATCTTGTTTTACCTGCGAAGAGAAGAGACGACGCCTGACCGTGTGGGTGTGTGAGAAATAACATTGATTCTATTTAGTCTTGGTCTGTCTGGACTGTTATTTTTAAAAGAGACCATTGTTTTGTTGAGCTATCATCATTGGCGGAGGATTCGAATATGTACTACGTGCTGGTATTGTGTTGTAATTAATGTTTTCTCGTTTCCATCAGGTACCGGAGAATCGGGTAAATCGACGTTTATAAAACAAATGAGAATTATTCATGGGTCCGGATATTCTGATGAAGATAAGCGCACCTTTATCAAACTGGTATATCAAAACATCTTTATGGCAATGCAAGCCATGATACGAGCGATGGAGATGTTAAAAATCCAATATTCAGATTCGTCGATGATAGTAAGTTTGAAAAAAGTGAATGCGACAAAAAACTTAGTCATTCTCCTAATTGAGTTCGAGTGAATATGTGACCAATTCTTTTTCTACTACTTTTGGTGCTACAGGAAAAAGCGGAACAAGTAAAAGCGGTTGACTATGAAACGGTCTGTACATTCGAATCACATTACGTTGAAGCCATCAAAGCCTTATGGGGCGACGCTGGTATTCAAGAGTGTTACGATAGGAGGAGAGAATACCAATTAACGGATTCAGCCAGATAGTAAGCTCCTTTTTTCGTGGTTTTTAGATTTTTCCAAGATTACTATAGCTCGGGTTTATATTTTTGGATTTATTAAACATATTTTAACTGGAAACCACTTTGTCCTTGTAACTTTATAGCTACTTAAGTGATTTGGATCGAATCGGTTCACCCGACTATTTACCTACGGAACAAGACATCCTTCGAGCTCGAGTTCCAACCACCGGCATTATTGAGTATCCCTTTGATCTCGATTCCATCATATTTCGGTATATTTTTTGTCTAACCCAAAAACAATAACATGTATTCCAATAAGTTATGCCTGAAATTAATGTTCGTCTATTTGATTTTTATTACACAGGATGGTAAGGAAACTTTCTATAATGGGACAATATATTTTCGGTAAGTACTGATGTGGTTCCTTTTCGTTCATGGTTCATTCTAATCCTAGGTGGACGTCGGTGGTCAGCGTTCAGAGCGTCGCAAGTGGATACATTGTTTCGAAAATGTAACTTCCATTATCTTCCTTGTGGCTCTAAGCGAGTACGATCAAATTTTATTTGAATCAGATAATGAGGTGAGCATACTTTCACTTTCCCCTTATTTGAATAGAGACATTAAGTGTGGTTTATATTGACGTTTTTATTTCTCTTCTAGAATCGAATGGAAGAAAGTAAGGCCTTATTCAGAACCATCATAACGTATCCTTGGTTCCAACACTCTTCGGTTATCCTGTTTTTGTAAGAAATCAATTTATATGTTTTAACTAACTGAATGCACTAATATTAGTTTGGCATAAACAAGTATATACTGAGCAAGTAGTTTCACTTAATTGCATATTGATACGTACATCTCGATTGAAGTTTCCATGAAGGATTTGTATCTATTCATGAGTTTATTTTATTGCAGGAATAAAAAGGATCTATTAGAAGAAAAAATTATGTATTCACATTTAGTTGACTATTTCCCCGAATATGATGGTGAGTATGAGTATGAGTAACACTACGTATGAATACCATGTCGTGTGATATAATTTTTAAATTTTTGTTAAAAAACCTGTATTATAGGGCCACAACGAGATGCCATTCACGCCCGAGAGTTCATTTTACGAATGTTTGTCGATTTGAATCCTGACAGTGAAAAAATTATATACTCCCATTTTACTTGTGCCACAGGTAATATATTCAATCAAGAGTTGGGTAAAGAAGGATTTTAATTAACCAATTTTGTATTTGTGTTTTCAGATACTGAAAACATCCGTTTTGTCTTCGCAGCAGTGAAAGACACAATTTTGCAGCTGAATTTAAAAGAGTACAATCTTGTATAATGGCCCACCTGAAGAGTTATGAATGATATCTGTCCACTGTCAAACAATGCATGTCCGTACATACCACCACTCAAGAGAAAGCAGTGTTTGGTTATGGTTAAGTATGTACGTGTATATGTGTGTATGTATGTGTGGTTAAAAGTTCAACAATTGGCGACCTGGGATGATGATGACGACGACGACGAAGCAAGACGACAGGTGATGTAGCCGTCTGGTGTTTGGATTTGAAGAATATTAAACATCTACTTCTCTCATCATCAGAATCAAAACTCGGGAAATTTAAAGTCTAAATTCAACAAGTCGCACAAATTCTGTCCTCTTCTTCTTGGAAAGCAAGCAACTATTTAAGGAATTTACGACTACACACAAGTGTTTCACACACCCAACTCAAGTGTTGAGAGAAAGTGGCAGTGTTAACCCATCGCGATCATTCATGACCGCTGCAAAAAAAAACAAAAAAAAGAACAAGCACAAATGAACGCACCAACCAACTACAACCACACCTCAGGAGTTTGAGTGAAAAACAAAGTGTATACATAATATATTGACACTTAGTTGACTGTTGTTTTAAGTGAGAAGAACTTGATACTTTAGACTTTTTTACATGATGAAGAAGCTTTATCTCATGCAACTGACTAGTCTTTCTTTCATCCGTTATGGTTATAGTTCGCGAGAGATAGTGGTGAAAGTAAATTGTAAGAGTGTTGTTTGTGGTCCTTGTGAAGAAGAAGAAGAAGAAATTACATTCTACTACTACTTCTACCACCACTACTACTACATACTACGACTATTACGACGACTACTACCACACTCTGCTCCAATAATAATCCTACTACTCTTCTGCTGCTTCGCCGGGTGTGGAAAAATTTCACCCGTTGATTCTAAAACTTGACGAGGATTTGTTATGCTGTTCATTAGCGTTAAACGTGCTGGAGAGAACCGCACTTGTGTCATTCTGTATCATTGCTGCTGCTGCTGCTACCAATTATTTGCATCAATCATCGTTGTTCAATCAATTTCAGTTGAAATTCATCGTTAGTTTTCTGGAGAAAGCTACTACAAAGCTACTAACCTACATTCACTATAAATATATGAATACATACAGTGCCTACATTCTCAGCGCCCTGCTTGACAGGCTTTTTTCTCTCTCACTCTCTCACTCTCTCTCCCAAATTCAACGCTTCTTGGTTGTTGTCATCTCGATGACGATGATGATGACGAAGAACAAGATCAAGAAGAAAACTTCAATCATACATCATCATCATCACGATCAACACTTTCATTCTTCTTTTCGTTGTCGTCTCCAGTACCTCATCCGACACTATTACTTCACTGCTACTTCTACTTGTACTTCTACTTGTGCTACATACAACTATGAGCGTCCCACTGCAATTTGTGGACACTTGTCGCCAACACCACCGCCAACCATGTGTGAGTTCCATGCTTCTACTACATCTTGTTGCTACACCCCTCCCCCCAAAAAAACAACATGTTTCGTTCCGTGGACGAGAACAACTACTAGTGTCAAATTTTTAAGTCTCCTCCTGGCTTTTCCTATTGAATCTCCGGTTCTATAATTCTAAAAAAAACTTAATGTATTTAATGACAGATAAGAAACAAGAAATGAACGGCCACTTACATGAGATGATGTAGGGAAGTCAAATCATTATATTTTATTTAAACAAAAAAGTCAATGTAGGTCTGACGAATCCCATAATATTCCAACTCTTGTAACCAAACGACTGTACTGCCACTTTACATAAATTTAACTATAAATTATGACTGGTCAAGTCAACTTATCTTACTATACTACTACAACTACAGTTTTTACAATTACGTACATTCAACATTCATTGAGCATTAGCATTTACTGCTCTACATTTACATATAAATATATATTTACCCACTACAGGCTTTTTATTAATTTATTAGTTCTACTCTTATTAATATGATAATCTCCGTTTTCTGTAATAAGGGAACCTTTACCCTCATATGAAACTATCTTCAGAGCCCGATAAATAACATCAACCGAAGATGAAGCCAAATTGCAAAAAAGGTAGAGATTCCCTTAGATAGAAATACATCCTTGGACTTTTACTGCTCGTTCATTTCATACTTTATTTTGGGTACAATTCGTACATTTTTATTATTACTACATACATATTATTTCTCTTTCCCCTTCAGTTATTGCTATTATCCAACGACAACCTAAATATATATATTCGTTCACGGGCTCCGTGCATCTCTGTCTGTCACCTTTTAACATACTCGACAACCAAGGTTATTATTTTAACCTTGCTTTTCCACTGTTACTCAACAACTGGTTCTTCTTTTTACAACAAATAATAAGATGTATAATATTCACACGGGATTGATAACACTTGATTCTAATACAGTGAGCAAGCCATGATTATGAGACCACCCTTTTTCCCGAGAGAGCTCTCACTCAAGTATGTATACATCACGGTATGATCTATTTGTTGAGTGGAGCAAGCCAGTTGCATGCAAATGCAATAATCTGTTGTTTTTTCCATGTATTTCAATTAACTGACAAAAATTCCTTATCTTAAATATTATTCGTTATAATCCACCTCATTTTTTGCGCTGCCTATCAAATACATTTCCTTCATTCTTTATGAGAAAAAATATTTGCACACTCGTTGATTATCTGTCAGTGACGATGACAACGACACCATCTTCTATTATATATATACAAATATATATATGATATAATTGTACCGTCGTCGTGTAGCCGTTCTTACTTGCAGTTTGTCATGAAAGGTCAGGTCAACGCCATGATTGAGGTCATCGTGATGTTGCATTCATCATGTCGTGTTTCTTGATGCATCCTTAATTTCTTCATCTGAAAGGAAAACTAAGGTGCGAGACAACATTGGAAAACTGCATAGCACAATTAATAATATGTAGGTAATTTCTATGATAAGATGCGAAGGCACACATTTTTATATTTCTACCAAAACAAAAAAAGTTGCAAATTCCTTGTGAATTATTTTAATCTTGTAATCAATAAGGTTACAGCAAAGTTGAATATTACGATATATATATATATATAATTTATGTTGTTGTTGTTGGTGGCTAGATGATGATGATGATTGTTGATGATTGATAGATGAGAGAAAGAAAGAGTCGGACTCGGTTTTGTATGACTTTTGACTGGTCTGTTTTAAAAAAAATAACAAAGCAACAATGATACACAGACATCTGCCTTCTCCGCTGACAAACGCCAATAAGTTTCCATTTCAAATTAGGTTTCGCCGCTTACTATGTTACTACAATGTGTGTATACAAAATTTAATCACGTTCGATGCCGGCCACTGTTTATTTGTATGCAGCAAAACCCTTCCATTTTTTTATGTTCAGTCACTGTCAAATCCACCAAACCGATTAATGCTATGCCATGTGCTATTTGCCAACCATAATTGATTTGTGTAGTGTGAAGTGTGTGTACAAGATATTTATCTTGAGGGAAAAAAGTGTGTGTAGAATGAAAATCAAAGAATTTTAATAACAATTGAATGATTATTATTACATTATAATAAAGAAGACGGCGATGATGATGAGTTCTATGTCGTTCGTGTACAACGAAATACACAAGCATTGCGCAAATCATATTTATTTATTATTTATTTTCAATTTCTTTTGGGCAAGCATGTACTACTATTATACATAATTAGCGTATTTTTACCATTACTTTTCTACTGCCAAATCAAGCACAAATTTATTAATGTGTGTGTTTGTGGATGTGATTCTGTTATCATTTTTGTGCTATTTAATAACGCCTTCTCTATAAGATTCACTTATTTAATGGCCTTTTTATATTCCGTTTTGCTACATGCTGTCCTCAAATTGTCAATCCCAACTTTGTGTTCGCTTTACACATACATCAAAAAAATACATACACAGTACAGTACGCACAACAACACGTCTATCAATAATATCTTTACATGAACTCTTTCAAATCTGTTCTGATTTGCACAATCATTGATAATAGTCGTTTGAAATTAGTTGAAATTGATTAAATTAACACCAAATAACAACTTTACATCACCTCGGTTAATTGGCGGCATTAAAAATTCTCGCTTATCTTTGCATAATAATAGAAATAATAATATACGTAGATTAAAATACAAAATGACTATTTATAAGTATTTTTTGTCTTTTATTTCTACCAAAAAAACTGCCAGTTTTAGAAAATGATAGACGAAAGTTTTGGATTGATTAAAAATGCACAATATTACGTGGTCTATAAAAAAACTAGGAAGAAAGTTGCTTTATAAGAGAGTGCTCAATTGAAGAAAAAACGAGAAAATTGTTTTAAAATCATGATAAAAAAACTTAATTTGCTGATCAGCACAGTACCAGATCAGATTCCATTAAAAAAACCCATGTAAATATCTCTTCATTAATTTTTCAGTTTTCTCTAATAATATTAATGACCACATTATCTGAACGATATTATACTGCAATATATTTAGGAGATAGTAGAAAGAAACCCATTTTTGTCATCAGGAGAAAAAGATTTTTGGGAGAATGACATGCACTGCATTTTGTACTTTACTAAATCCAGTTTTGGGAGCTGAGCTTGTTAGCTGTGTTATATGTTGTTGTTGTATGGAAATTAGTCTCTTTTACATATTAAAAAATCGTGTTGAATATGAATTACAAAAAATTGAGGACGGAACTTAAAAAACCAACAACAACTTTTACGTGACGCATACAATACTACCTGATAAATACTTGTTATGATACACACACATACCAAAAAACTAACTATTTATTGGGCATTGTACATAAAGCATGTACTCAATTTCGAGTGTTAAAGTTGCTGAGACCCCTCTCAGGATTGATGATATAAAAAAAAAGTTGTGGAGGGAGGGCCAACCTCGGTCACATGCTTTATGTTCAATCCCTCATTACTACACGTGGCATTTTTCTTCAAGGAAACAAGCGGTCTACTATCTTTCCCGGTCGGTTATAATAATAAATATAGTTAGCTAATTATTCACAATTTTTTCCTTCTTTTTACAAAGAAAGCCACGTCCATTTAAAGTGCATTTAAATCTTTATACTTTACCAAGGCTGTTGCTTTTTATTTTTATTTTTATTTTCCTTTATTACAATTAAACAATAGCGCGTACTAAATTGGAGATTCTGCTGCTGGCAAAAAGGTGCGAAAGTTGATAAAAAATCAATACTCCGTCGATACCCAAAGACAAAAAAACATCACTACTAACCAGAACCACCCCGCATTTGCATAATATTTGTGACCTGATGATCATCCTTTTCATTCCGCTGGTTTATTCCTGAATAATTTCCCCCAATTGATTTGGAATAGTCCACTCCCACGCATAATGTCGTGTTTATTATTATGAGATGATGATGATTCGTTTACTTAACACCACCACCACCTCCATACCAAAGCTTGCCAATAAACAACTAATAAGAAATTATTATGTACCTATTATTCCGCACCACAGACACGGATAGGAACAGTGAGCGTTAAAAAAAGCCAAAGAATTTCGGACGATGATAATACACACACTACGTTTTTTACATACTTGTACTGGAATTGTGGAGTCATGGAATGACAGATAACAGGGAAAAAGAGAGAGAAAAAATGAGATTTCATTTTTCCACAGAGAGGTCTGATTCATCTACACAATAATTTCCAACCCGACTCTTGGTTTGTTCCGATTCAATGTAGCCTTCTGTACATAAACTTGTTATCTTTCTGCACATTATTTACTTCACACCGCATTTTTTCCCCAAAACCTCAAAGAACAAAAACCAAATCTAAAAACCAAACCTGTGTCCTAAATATTAGTCATTCAGCACCATTGTTGAATTTTATTTTAGTCAATATGCACATATACCTATTTACATCGATGTAGCCGTTTGTGTATCATCGCTTGTTGCAGCAGCAGACCTTTATTATTGCACGTGCGTTCATCAATTCATTTTGGTTTTAGTAGATAAGCTAAGACCAAGAACATATATATAAATATATACCGTAAATGAGCCCACTGATGATCTATATAAAGAAAACTTATTGATTTGAGGAAATCCTAAATGATGATCACGTGTCGATGACTGTACTACTTTGTCTACTTTGCATTTCATGATTTGAGAGGAAGGAGAAGGCAGTGAATTTTGTCGTTATGTAGGGATGATTTTTTTTATATAAAAAAACTAGGTAAAAATGTTTAAACGTAACAACAACAACCAAACCAGACCGGACCAACAAGTACTGTGGTTGTTGATGATGGGTCGTCGGTAAGGTAGGATAAGACTTTTTATTAATGTATAACATTTGTTAGGTAGGCTAGTCCAGTCCGGCTGTGAACATGTGACTACAACATATACAACTGACTAAGAAGATAAGTTATGATACTCAATAAAATTTTCTACGGTGCCATGAAATTCTAAGTAAAAAATACGGATAAGTTGTTCTTCCCTAATCTAGTGCGTACTACGTATAGTTTAAATTATTGATAGGAAGTATTGATGATTATATAATTGGGCAGGCAGGAGGTGTACGTACATAGGCTACACTAACTAAGATTCAGATCTATGTACTTTGACGACTTGCCCTGCTGATGAGAATGAAACTTATTGTGTAATCACAGATGATGTATCTTCGGTACATAGTTAACTAATTTACTGATTATTTATAGTTAATTGTATGCTCCTATTATAAATGATAAGTTAAAGGCCATTTATGCTACACACGACACAAACTCATCATCCTGTATTATATACATAAAAATATATATATCCGTACTACTGTTATACATACTAAACTATGAGTACACACACAATGATGATGATGATAAGAATTAATTAAGTCTAAGGGATGACATGTTGTGTACTAGTACCACTACTATTACTAAAACACTACTACAACTACTATTGTTACTAGTATACAACTACTACTACTTACTACTACTACTACTACAGTTAACTAAAGTAAGTGCTTAGGTGATGAAACAGAAGTACGTGTAAGTTGATTTAGCATATTTATTACCATTTTGTTTCTGCTATTAAGATTATTTAATTTAGAGCTTAAGGAGGTTTGTAAATATAATGATGATTATTAAACAGAATTTCCTCCATTAAAAAACATGACAAGAAGAAGATGCGATGATTTCGTGTTCACTCATTTTAATCCTGGTTTCATATGGAGAATGCATACCATAAAAAAGTAAAAAACGACCCATACTGCATACCAATTCATTTTAGTTTTAATTTATTTGAAATACATTGCATTTAATATATCCACCTTATTTAACAATTATCGTCATGTCGCGCTGATAAATACAAGAATTTAAAAATAACTTGAAGGAACCATAACAATTTCATCGAATGGTGAAAGTTGGCAGAAGAAAACACAATATTTTTGGAACTCGAGTAGTATTGACTAGATGAAATGTGAATAACACAAAATAACAATTGTTTAATTAAGTGGCATGATGATCGACTGTGAAAGCACTTGGAGAGGACATTGGCAAAAATAAAGTAGACTTTTGAACACGTCTCAATTTTCATTCAACGTATTATCGTGCCAGCCAGAGAGAGATCACAAATGTGTCCAAGGATCCTTCAGGTAAAATTTTATATCATTTCAGGATTAAACGTCTCAATCCCTTGATCCACGGGACCAAAATATTGACCCTGAAAATGAAGAAAAAAAATCATGCATACTTGAATTTTTCTAATGCTGGCACATGAAATTAAACAATAAATCATTTCACCTGAACTTCTAGCATGTCTTCATCCCCTGTCGCAATTTCCCCATTGATTGGAGTGACCGAAAAATGGTCAGCAGGCACATTTATTTCATTCAGTCTACTGTGTAGTGTATTGGCGTGAGAAGTACCATTACTCGAATCACCACCATTACTGAGAGAAAGGTCGGAAGGTCTTGTCGCCAAGTTGCTGCTGCTCGGAATCACACTGGATTTTGGAACTGTTGTTCTTAAAGCTAATTCCAAACCGTTGGACGTTGTGAGGTTTTTTGGAGTTGTCAAGTAGTTTGCAAACTGCGTTACAGAGTCTTTTATTCCCACGAGTCCTTCATAACGTAGTTTTTGCAGTACTTTAAACGCCCCATACGAAGAAAACCCAACAAGGACGACGGACCTCCCGGTAGTAACTGCAAGAAATATATGCAAAGTCAACCCACGTCAAAATGAGCAATTCAATGTGAAATTATTTATGATATTTGCAAATACTCGTGTTTTTCAGGAACGATAAAAAATTGGATCGCTCGGGTGAATGAGGAACAAAAATTTGCAAGAGGGATGATGAGCTTGGAAGTAAATATCGATAATCACGTTGAATTCCATCCGCTTTCTTTGCGCAAATTCCCCACAAAAATGTCAAAATCTGAAAATCAGATCAGATCAAGTTACCTCTGGCTGATTACAAATTTATTTCCTTTGTATCATTTTACCTCTGGTTCAAAACTAAATGAAAACATGTCGGAAAACAAAACTCGGGAATTTGACCACTCATTATTAGCCATGAAATTGAGATATTAACCAAATAATAATAAATTTGAACACCTATGTATTTTTGTTACGTTTTTTCTCAATCCTTTCTATCTTTATTCATAATTATATCCAAGGCCAGCGCAGATTTTTTAAGTACAATTTATTTGATACCATATTTACTATCAAGTATTTACAAAATATATGATATTAGCAAAATTATTTTAGTATTTCGTCACAAGCAAAAGAATTACCCACTTTTACTAGATCTGAGAACTATCCTTCTACGAATGTCCCCGATTCGGGGTCGAGTTCGGATGTCTTGGTTTCGTCGTATGGCCTCTCATTCTTCCTTTCAAACTATTTCTTTTCTATCTGCATCCATCCATGCATTGAAACTTTGAATGAAAATCCCGATAAAGTGCCGACCAGTTTAGCGCAGTTTGAGTCTTGTGATTACAAGTACATTCTTCACCTGGAATGAATAACCCCTTTACAAAGCAATGGAATCCCTTTTAAACGGCTCAGTTCACCACAGAGTGTAAAATAGGAGAAAGAGTTAACAGATTTCAACTACATTTTGTGATGGTAATGTATTCTCCGGTTTAAACGAGTCCAATGTTTAGTCTATGTGAAGAGTAAGCATAATATACAAGCTCATCCTTTGTGAGATCACATAAAATATCGAGATTTAATGAGCATTGCAGCTTCCAACTCCTTGTTATGAGACGATTTGACACGTTTAAACGTGCATATATACATTCATACTAACCATCAGCCGCATCTGGATCTTAATAATTTCTCACGTTTTCAGGTTGGTTTTTACATCTTATTAAAGATAAACCTGCTTTTTGTCTTTGCATTGTATTTATATGTACTCTTAAGAAAAACCGTCTTTTGATTTGTGATGTAGTATATAGTCTTCCGCATAGCCAAAGTATTATCTGTGACAGTATAATAAAATACAATGTGCTTTAATGTTCCAGTTACCGGACATCTGAAAATTCTCGCGAAAATATTACCAATAAATTGTAGGACACTAATTAGAACAAATATACTTGGAAGACGCGACTTTCTTTCTGATCGTAGTGGTGCAGCATTTTTGGTACCAACGGTTACTCGCTGCCTTGAAAACGCAAATTACACAATTCACCACCATTCTCGCCTTTTTCCTATAAAAATACCACAGAATAGTGATGGTAATCCGTAACCGATCCTATCCTAGGATCGTAAAAACTCGGATAGGATCGGATTTTCACACGGATCGGATAAAGGATCCGAGGATCAGACAATCCGATCCGATCCGAACCGATGAAATCCTAGGATCGCACAGGATCCTCGGATCATCCGATGTAAACTCGTTTCACATTTGGTGAGTTCATCACATGGCGTACATTACCCGAATGAGCCGAATTATCCTATTATTTTACACCAGTTATTTTTGTTTTGGCGTTGAAATCATAGGAAATTGAATAATTTGAACGCCAAAACAAAAATAACTGGTGTAAAATAATAGGATAATTCGGCTCATTCGGGTAATGTACGCCATGTGATGAACTCACCAAAAACCGTTCCAATAAATAAAGAAAAGCAGCTGGTAAAGTTTTTCCATAGTTAGACACAAGGTGTCTCACACATATCATCCGCGGATATCCTACGATCCTAGGATCGGATCGTATCGGATTTCAAGTAGAACCGGGAGCCGATCCGATCCTAAAGCGAGCAAATCCGATCCGATCCGATCCTGTATTTATCCGATCCTATCCTACGGATCGGTTAATTTAGGATACGGATTACCACCCCTACCACAGAATTCAGAAAATCATTACACTAATTCGGCTCGAGAAACTTTAAATAAAATTTTAAATTCCATTCCACCCAGCAAAACGATGGTTGCAGTAAGTGAAAAATTGCCAAATGTGGTCTTTGTTCTCGGTGGTCCGGGAGCCGGGAAGGGGACACAGTGCTCCAAAATTGTAGAGGTAACATTTCCTCTCTGTGCATTTAATTGCAATTATTTGTTACGGTAATTAAAAACCAATCGCCGTACAGTCCTTTGGCTTTGTCCACCTCTCGGCTGGCGACCTTCTTCGAGAAGAGAGAAACAAACCTGGCTCAGAGTATGGGGAATTGATCGAGAAACACATAAGAGACGGGACGATTGTTCCGGTCGAAATTACCTGTTCCCTCATTGAAAGGGTGAGTTTTTTACATACAGATAAGTAAGGCTTATCAGTGTCAAGAAATCATCATCATTTTGGTGTAATTGGGTTCTAGGCGATGAATGAAAGTGGTTCCAGCCTGTTCCTCATTGACGGATTTCCTCGCAACCAAAACAATCTTGAAGGTTGGGAGAAGGAGATGTCGGACAAAGTAAATGTTCTCTTTGTCCTCTTTTTCGACGCTCCTGAAGAGGTCTGTGTCGAACGGTGTTTATCTCGCGGTCAGGCCGGCAGTGGGAGATCAGATGATAACCCGGAGAGCTTGAAGAAACGGGTCAACACCTATGTAAATGACACCATGCCGATAGTCAACCACTTTTATGAGAAAAGTTTGGTCCGCAAAGTGAATGCAGCCCTGGATCCAGAGCAGGTGAGTTTTTCCACGGATAAGAATATTGCATGCACGAAATTCCTAAATTTATCCTTCAAATCAATTCAACAATTCAATTTTGATCCAATTTTAACACAATTTCCAGGTCTTTGGAGAGGTCAAAACAATTTTCAACGGAATTCTCAACAACCAATAACTTATGACTAAATCCAGCAGCATATTCCAACTAGCAATGACTTCCTCTTTACCGCCACAAGAGGTTTTTTTTTCATTTTCAACGTATCTAATGACGTACTTACTGAGGACGCGGACAATTGTTGCTAGATTCCAAAAAACAAAACTTTGAGGAACTTTTTTATACTCACTTGCTTGATGAAAACTTGCTTAATTAAGTAGTATCACATTTGATTCCAATATGAGTCCTGTCCTAAATACCTATCGTGATGCTGAGTGTACCTTAGGATTAGAGTAGTCTGTAGTAGAAAAATATCGCAATCTTGACCTATCTTTTAACCCCTCGATATCCTATATATATTATTATTATTCATCATCAAGCAACGATTCAAAAGTAGAACTATAATACTACATATAAATATTCCAAGTAGAGACAAATTATAAGGGAAATATAAAATATATTATGCCAATAATACAAACAATTATTTAAGCCATGTAACTAGAGTATCAGTGTACTATTTATTTGTCAAAATTAATTTCAAAAATTAAAAAACGTATAATAATGAAAAGCAACAACATTCATTTTGCATATGAAATGGCATGAATAATTTCATTTGAAACCAGTGAGAGAGAGACATTATAAGATATAGCATATGTTTGAAACCATATTTACCAACATCATTAGAAGAGTGAATTCATGGAAATGATAAATATACATGTTGTATAAATAGGAATTTATTTCGTGGAATTAACCAACCAAAAACAAGTCTTAAAACCTCTTATAAGCAAACCCTTTTTTTGTGGTATTAAGCGAGTCTCCTGTTGCCATTACACCAATGCTGTAATGCAATGCAATGCGTTTTATACGCAACTCGTCCTTTTAACACAGCTCTAATCGGCAACATTATATGTACAATGTACATACACACATCAGAAAGAGTCGAAATTTTCTCTACGTTTTAACTTCCATCTCAAAATTGTGATACCCTTAAAAAACGACAGGTCATTTCATTCTTAATTCAGTCTCCAATGTGTAAAGTTGGCCACAATTCGTGTTTGGAACGTTTTTAAAAAAACCTCATTGATATTAAAAAAGAGAATAATAGAGACTTCGCAATAGTGTAGTTGTTGCGGTTACAACGTTTTTTAACACTATATCTTGACTAATTGTGCTAATTGGACTAATTGTCAGGAATTGCGAATAGCAGATTAAGTCACCACTAAGATTTTGTGATGGGATTTGACTGGTTATAATTTTACGAGTTGGTTAACATTAGATGAAAAAATATCATGGTTGTGCTAGGAAAGCCGATTAGCGGTGGAGGTGTTGGAGGAGGTGGAGGACTTCAGGGAAAGTTATCCAGCAGCAATTCCTCACTTTGTTCTCCGCCCAACGACGTCGTCTTCGTGGTGGAAGGCACTGCACTTTGCGGAGCTTATCTGAATGAACTGAAGCAGACTTACATTTTTCCAGCCTTGGAGTGAGTCTTATTTCGTATTTTAAAGTTTTATGGTGAAATGTTAAATGAAGGGAGAGAGTTAATGATATGAATATTTTAGGTGTTTTAATGGGGGACACATTGAAGAGAGGGATTGTGGGTCGGATGTAAGTTTAAAATAATAAATTCTAACTGGTGTGCCGATACAGTCGAATAAATCGGTATTTATTTTTTAGAGCAATTTTACACTTTTTGGACTGGTCGTTTTCCACTCATCGGATATTCTTCCGGCCTTATTGACTGAAGCTTATGGACCGATCACGACGCCGCAGAAGTTGATGAGCATCATCGACAAGATTCAGTAAGTTGTGTACCGTTGTTGTTGAACTACTTGGGAGGAATTGGTTTGAATTTGCATTTTTTAATGGCCAGGTTTAGTGGAGGTTATGGCGAGGCTGCGTCGCATGTGGGGGAAGGACTTGCTACTGCGTTGCAAGGTTTGCAAGACCTCCAAGCGTTCAGGGCTGCTTCTCAGGATTCTACAATACGTAAGATTTTATAATTGGGAGTAGTAATGAGAGAGAAAAAAATGTTGCCATATTGCTCAATTCTAAAATTATCGTATGTATGTGTAATTCAACAGCAAAAAAGCACATTGTTCTCGTCTGCAATTGTAAACCGTACGGATTGCCAGTAACTGAAGCAGTCGGACAAAATAATATATATCGTGGCCTTACGGCGGAACAACTGGCTGCATTCATGTCGGAAAATGGAATTCACTTGTCAATATTTTCACCTAGAAAAATTCCAGGTTTGTCTTATACTCGAAAAGCATTATATTTTTTTTCTAAAAAAAACAAATTTTGTGTGAATATTTCATTATTGGTACTGTATTTTTTTGCAGCCCTTATAAACCTATTCGAAAGAGCTGGAGGTGAATCATCGCTGCAAAAGACGTATTCTCGTGATCCCAGGCATTTAGTATTGTTGAACGGATTTCATCTCCAGGTTCGTATAGTGCTCACTTCAATCAGATTCAGCTTCACAATTGCGATACCATATCCTAAAATGAATGATTTCCATTTTCTTAGGAACGGCCAGTTACACCCACGAAAGCTACCCCGCTAGATCCACCTATACTGAATCCACCTCACACTCCACAACAACCACCACCGGCATCCACCCCCACTTCCAGCATAAGTCAGATACCCCCACCTGCCCCCACTCCTCCCCAGCATCAGCAGATACCTCAACAATCTCAACAGCAACAACCTCAACCTCCACCACCAGGACCTGTCCCTCCACAAATCATGGTCAACAATAGCGCTCAACCCCAACTATTAAGTCAACAGCCCCACCCTCAGACCTTACCTCATCACCAACAACAGCCAATACAACAAAGCTTCAATATTCCTCAAGCCCCCACACCTCCAACAAGTATCCAACCTGGTTTCAATCCACCCAGTTCTGTTAATGCGCAAATTCGCCTAAGAGGAATGAGGCCGGCAGGGCTGGGTCAACAGCAACAGAATCCAATTGTTATCAACCAAGGGCAAAATCCTATCCAACAGCAGCAGCAGCAGCAAATTCTTCCAGGGATGCAGAAACCATTAAACTCTCATTTAAATCAACAATTAGGTCAGCAGCAGCAACAGTTAAACCAACAGCAACAATTAAATCAGCAACAATTAAACCAGCAGCAACAGCAGCTAAATCAACAGCAACAATTAAATCAGCAACAATTGAATCAGCAACAGTTAAACCAGCAACAACAACTGAACCAACAGCAACAATTAAGCCAACAACAGCAATTAACTCAACAGCAACAATTAAGCCAACAACAACAATTAAATCAACAGCAACAATTAAACCAACAGCAACAATTGAACCAGCAGCAGCAATTAAACCAGCAACATCAGCAGCTAAACCAACAACAACTTAATCAACAACAACAATTAAACCAACAGCAACAATTGACCCAACAACAGCAACAATTAAGCAATTTGAATCCACAGTTAAACCCTCAGTTAAATCAAGCACTAAACCAACAACAGCAATTAGGTCAGCCAATTAACCCTGCTCAGATGGTGGGAGGAGGACAGCTTAATAGTCCACAAATTTCCCAACAACAGTTGATCCCTCAACAATTGAATCAACAGCAACCTATGAATACGCAACAGCAAATGGGGCAGCCACAAATCCAAATTGGACAACAGCAACAACAATTAAATCAGCAGCAAATGGCTCAACAAAATCTTAATCCTGGACAAATTGGGCAAATGGGACAACAAATAAACCCCCTGGGACAAAATGCCATGCAAAATACTATGCAACCACAAAGATGGAACAATCCCCTTGCAGCGGTTCAGCAGGCGCAGGCTCTACAACAACAGCAAATTCGAATGCAACAAATTCAACAACAACAACAGCAGCAACAACAACAGCAACAACAACAACTTCAAAATATGATGGTAATAAACCGTTTCAACATTTAGTAATAATAATTTCACCAATGGTGCGAATGAGTGGACAAATTGGTACACAATTTTTGCTCCCCCAATTTTTTCACACCATTTTGCGGTACAAATTATCCGATACCAATGGTGCTACTACGTTCTTCAATGGAGGAGCGACTCCTCTTTAATTAGCATCAATTTATGCAAAAATACTCGTTAACGGACACGAGGAATTCGAGCTAATCAATATTAATAGCAAAAAAATATCATCATGCTACAAAAAATATTCTTGGTTTTTTCTCTGGTTCTAACAATGATTGTTTTCTAGGCAAATCAAACACAGCAGCAGCAACAACAAAATCAACCCCAACAACCAACGCCACAGTCTTCCACTCCTGGACCAACGTCTAGTCTTACGTCTTCAACGTTGCAACAGCAACAACCAACAAATTCTACATTAATTGCACAATTGCAAAATCCTCCACAAACTACAGTTCCCGTTCCCGGAGGTGGTCCAACAGCTCCACAAATGGTGCCAATTGCAGCGGCCCCCAATAATCAAAATCCCAAAGAGAGACAAGTTATTTGGTCAGGATTATTGGAATGGCATGAAAAGCAAAAAGGTATCTATCTCATATACTGCAAAAACGAGTATCATGTTTCTTCAGGCGTTTTTTTATGGGTTTGTGGATGTGATATTTGTAGGACCACCAGAAGGCCAAAAGATTCCTCGCCAAGTTCCATGCCAAGTGTCAGCAAATGTTGTTAATGGAGAACCGGAAGTTAAAGGAGATGGATGGCCACAGAAATTGATAATGCAGCTCATTCCAAAAGCTATCGTGGGGAGTTTGGGTGGAACTTATTTCCGGGACGTAAAAACAGTGCTCTTCATACTGCAGAATTGTGATGCCTTGACTTCTTTGACGAGAGTTTTAGACTCTGGATTTGTACGTTTACATATTATTTTCTCAAATATTATGGCCTTGTTATTGCATATAATAATATTTCTTAATAACTAACAGGCTGGCTGTGTCCACTTTACTGGTGCTGGAATGCAACAGCCCTCATGCACCATCAAAGTCCTAATTTTGCTGTACAGCAAGGAAAGGCATGCGTACTTGGGTTTCATCCCCAACGATCAGGCAGGATTTGTTGATCGAATTAGGAAAGTTATTCAACAACAAAAAAATCAACAAGCAGTTATGCGACAAGGATTTCCACCATTACCTGGGAACCAGTTACCTAACATGCCAGGCACACCTCCCCAGCAGCAGACCATGGGTCAGCCCAATCAGCAAAATCCTATAGGAATACCCATCAGCAACCAAAGCGGTGGGCAAATGCCAACGCTTGCACAACAATTGGGTCAGACACAACCAGTGTTAGGAAATCCAGTCCTCGCACAACAATTGAGCCAAAATCAACCACAAATCCCCCAACAGCAGCAACACCAACCTCAACAACAGCAACTGCAGCAAATGGCACAACAACTAAATAACACTATTCAGCAACAGCAGCAGCAACAACAACAACAAACAAATTCAAATGTCGTTGATTCCACTAGTGCAGATTTATATGAAATTGAACGGCAACAGAATCTCTTGAAGATTCAACAACTACAGCAAACCCTTCAGCAGGCGCAACAACGCGAACTTCAATATCAGCAACTACACAGCATTCCTGGCCTCCCAGGAGGTCCACCTGCAACTCAGCAACAACAAATGGGAGGCGGAGGGGGTGGGCCGCCACCGATGCAGGTCAGTCAACAACAGCAACCAATGCATCAACAAATGCAGCAACAACAACAACCTCCGCAAATCCAAGGAATACCTCGTCAAATGATGACCCCTCAGAATGCTGGTCAACAAATGCGGATGATGAGACCTTCAGTGGCACAAGGGAATCCTGGCTTGCGTCATTTACTTCAACAACAAGCTGGGCCCAATTATCGAATGCAGAATATGCAGATGCAAGGGATGCAAAGAATCCCTGGACAAGTTCCAGGCCAGATGCCTGGTGGTGGCCCCCTAAGTCAAGGAGGTCAGGTTAACCAATTTGAGGATGTAGGAATACTAGACTTACTCAAATAAGTAGTTAGTTCTTTCCATTTTGGTATACGAAGGGAACACCATTCTGTACATGTTATTAAATATATAACTAGAAATAAGAGATGTAGGTAGTATTATGTATTATGGACTAATAATATGTTGTGACAATTTCATGGACATCGCCGAAGAAGAACTTGATAAAAGTACTACAATTATTACTTATGTTATAATCTTTGGACAAAGTTTACTCGCCGACAATAAAGGTTACTATTTTGCACGTAAACTTGCCACACTTTACTCTTGCCTTTAATTGCAGCACATTTTGAATAACACATACTGAATTTTAAAGTCAGAGCGACCCACAGTAAAATAAAAAAATAAATTCATCCTGCCACTGACAGAATTCAGTGCAATGTGGCTTGTTCGACATGAATAGTTAAAGATGCGAAATGATTCATACACAACATCAGCTTTCATACTTCATTCAACATTTTAATGCCGTAATAAATATTATAATAATAAAGACTAGCAGTTCATAAAAACTGTAGCAGATAGTAGTTAATTAACAAAGAGTTGGATATTTATCAGTATCATAATGATCAGTAGCCAACAAGTAGTACCTTCGTCCCGTTTAATATCTATAGTCATTAATATCCACTGATTATTATGTACCACACACCTAAAAAGAATACGAGTCACTTAAATGCGGATGTAATGCGACTGATTAATCTAATTATAATTCTATTTAAAAAAAATGGTTTTTGGGGTGCAACACATTCCAGGGAATTAGATAATAAATAACCCATGTTGCACAAAAATCAACATTTCCAGCACCCTTTACCTTTTACATGCACATAAAATACCTTAAGCCATAAATTTCTACCATATATAAAGACGACTGGAGGAGCTGAAACTTATAATAATACGATTATTAGCTAGATTAGCTAGATGACAAATATTACTGCTACTACTCTCTATAGTGTACTGCACATAAACGTTATAACCGTATGCGGTATAATAATAATCATCCTACATCCATAAGTAATTGTATAAAAGACTCATCAGTCTTACACACCTTGAGAGGTATATAGTAAAGTTAAACGACTTATCATATATGTAGGAGAGGAATAGAAAAAAAACAATATGTCAAGTATTAAAGTTGCAATAAAAATCTGGATGGGACGGCGAGAAAATATAACACTGAGGAAAAATTAAGGGAGTCGACGAGGTAATAATACTTAAATGACGATGACAGACATAGCTCACTTAAGTTCACTATTAATACGTAATCGCTATATATATGTAGACTATGCTTCTTCTACTAAATATCCAATTTCGTCACAAGGAATCTTATCGTCGAAATATCATATCATCTTAACGTTCGAGAGACTATCACTATGTAATTGAGGCACAGTAGTTAGGACAAATTGCACGCATCACGTTTGATACGTGCAATGACGTTGGCTACAATGGATTCCGTAGAAATATATTTCGAAATTCAAGTTTGAATTCACCTTCGGTACTATAAACCACTGTAAATATTTACAGTGGTGTCGTTTGTGTCATCCTTTTTTAATAAGTAAAAATACGATACGCTTTTTAACTCTTATTTTTTAGTTGTACAATTGTGAGTACATTGTTAACTGCGTCGGGTAATGGTGATCGATTCCCTTATTCATTGACACAGTTGAACGGTGGAGAGAACCAGGTTGTGAAGATTGGCTGTGGTTCTTGTAGTAAGAGTGTTGATTGTTGTGCAGAAGCGTGTGGTACATGTAGTTGTTTGTGGGGCTATCACAGTTAGATGAGGATGACACTGGTACCGGAGGTGAATTTAATTGTCAGCAAAGCGATGTTTCTTCCCCTGTTAATTTTAAATTTAGGAATAAAATTAATGCATTAAATAGACGAATTTTAATTTTAGTAGCTCAAAAATACCTTCGAGGGTACATGCGCAGTTTTCAAGACGGTGGGCCAAATGCATTTTCTTACAGTATGGCTCCTGGAATTAAATAAGAATATATTTAATTAAGAATGTGAAATGAAAATAAATGGATTCGAAAATAGAACCAAAGTTTTTTTATAGATGTAAAAAAAACATTGCTTACCATTTCTAACGCCTCAAGAATCTGATTGTTGTACTGCGTAACGTAAATGTACAATTCTTTGAGTGCTGCTGCATGGTCGAAGTGTGCAATATGTGACATTGAAAGTTGCTGCATGGCAGAGTTCATCTCTTGGTCCGATATTTGTGGTAAGTTTTTAATGTCCGCATAGAATTTCGAAACCAAGTTTCGATAATGTGGAATATCTGAATATGGAAAACCAATTAATCATTGTACCACATTACCTGAATTAATAAATATGTAAATATTTTTAATGAAATGATGAACGACATTTACCTTTGGCAAATAAAAGTTTGCTGGACGGAGAGTCTTTTCCAAGTCTTTGCTCAGACGTGGCGCAAGAGTCCATCATTGTCTGCATTATCACTCCTAAGCTCGCCTCCACCGTTGGCGTCTTTTCAACGTCGAAAATGAAGTCGGGGTTCTTAATAAAGTTGATCCAGAATCTCAATGGATAGCTGCGTAATTTGATAAAATAACAATATGCCATGAGTTAGTTGAACCAAAAAAGTTGGATTGAAACAGAACAGAAACATTCATTTTATGTGTCAGCAATTATTATTTCTTCATCCTTACCTATTGGACTTCCATGCGTGCACAACTTCAGGATCAACAATATTGTGGCGTCGCGCGGCTTCGTCCAAGAGATCAAACAACCACTTTATAGCAGGAGGGATCGAGTCATTGATTGAGAATATTGAATCGAAAAAGTCATCAACAAATTTCTGAATGGTTCCCTTTGTTGAGAGGAGACGAGTTAAAAATATTTCTGGGATGGCTTTGTGAGCCCGATCCCTGTCGTTGATTCTTTGGTCCTTTCCAGACACGTGGTCCTCAACAGGTTTAACGAGATGGTAGGTTGGACAATCTCGACTGCTGTGGTTCGAGTTGCCCAAAGTCATGTTCATTCCCATCCCCATGTTCACACCATTTCCGACCATGGGGGACATACTGCTATTAAGATAAGCTCCAGAATCTGTACCAAGATGAAAAGTTCGATATTAAAAAGTCCCAACTCAGAAATAACCGTTACGAATATTGTAACAAGACAACGAGAGACTGCGAGACTTACATGTGTGATAGTTGCATGGCTTCTTGCACAAACTCATCGTATTTGAATAAGAATCGTTAGGACGAGCGACTAGGGACATAACTGCAGAGTCCTTGATACCATAGTGAGCAAGCGTGTTTAACTTTTTCCAACCGCTGGACGCCCTTGTGGTCAAGTCTTCATCTTGAAGCGTCAAATGTCCACCGCGGCCATGTCTCCATTCTACAATTTCGCATGTTAATTAGTCTCAAGTTTTTTTAACACTATACTTTTAAACGAATTTTGAAATATCGTACCCAAGTCGAGATCATGGACAGAGGGACGGAGACTAAAGTGTGTATTTTTATACAATGCATCCAAAATCTTGGACTTGACTTGTGTGATTGTATCACAGTCCAAAACTTTGCACTGGATCTTTTCATCCAATTCTTCTTGCACAACCTGGAAGGTCTGAAATTATGGAATAGGTGATAATTTAATATATTACTTACTCAATTTGTACAACTGAAGATTAATTACCTGATATGATTGATACGGGATTTTCTCATAATAAGGATCCTCTTGTACCAAATGAATTGTCTGCACATAAGAATAATCATATTTTCATGGATCCATTGTATACTTCGCAAATTTTAAAACATGGAACACAACAAAGTTAAAAATCGCAATCTTACCACAACTGAGAAGTCAATGGGCTCCCGAAGAAGTCGTTCTTCAGAAAGTGAGTAACGTGCATCATGGGTGAGAGAATCCACTGGGCCTTTCTCTATTTGATACTTTATCGCTTTAAACAACAAAAATAAAGATGGTCCAACGTGGTCCTTGAGATAGTTGTACATGCAAAGTGCCATCCAGTTTGATAGCATTTTCTCAACAACGGTTTCTGTACGACGCAACATAAGCTGAGGATGTTTGGATCCGACAGATTTGTTAATAAGTTTGTGTAGCAGACTTTGAAGAATGTCGGTCGCATATTCCATTTTCCCCATCAAGATTATCATCAATAGCGATGCGACATTAACCCTGCAAAGTTTAATAATAGTATTAATAGGATTTAAGAGTAAGTTTGTAAAAATTGGATCAAAAGTGATTCTGTTTTTTTAAAGAAATTTCAAGTTTTATGAATCCTTACTTGTCACGAAGTTTGAAAGACCTTTGACCTTCCAAAGTCTCAACAAAGGTCAGAAGAAAGTATTTGTTGTTAAGTAAAAGTTCAAATTGACTCATGGCTGCATCATAATTTGTAGCAGATCCATTGATTCTCATCTAAGAAAGCAAACAAAACCATGTTATACTCTCAAAACTCTTTGCAATCGGGTGAAAAAAAATATATTGTATAAGACTTACCTTTGGATCACGGAGGATGGGATGTTCCGTGACGCCGGGGAAGAAGCACCTAAAAAATATGGGTAATTTTAGTTACATTCCTTAGTAAACTCCTGCAATTTCCGACTTGGAAATTCTACTTCTCGATAATACATAAATACGAATTGTGTACGTTTTCCTTACCGCATTACATAGTTTTTATGGTCCAACGTTGGAATAGCAGCTCCCAGATCCACAGTCAAGTCTCTCATGTCAGTTTGTAGTTCAGCAAACGCTATGGACATTTTTAGAATGAAAAAGTAAATTTCTCCTCCTTTCATCCACTACCAAGAAGAAAATGAGGTTAACTATGAGCTTAAAATTCACCTTGCTTGCACTCGGATCTCACATTGCTCTCAAGCGTATCCATTTGGATCTGAATTCTCTTGTACTCTCTTTCTGCTTGTGTTGACTGTGAATAACATCAACTTATTATTTTGAGCACCATAAATAATGATATTATTATAGAATTGTAAAATAACTTCTATGGTGCATCGTTTTTAAGATGGGCAAAAATGTAGGAGGGCGACCGTGGAATGCAAATTTGTAATCTAGAGTTTTATATACACTCACCTTTCTCCGGTAAACAAAGACGATGAATGCAAATAAGCTGAGAAGTATGAATGCAGCGATTGCAGCAACAAAGTAGGCTTCCACAGGGAAATTGTTGGTTTTCATCAGCTCATACTGCAAGTAGCCCACTTGAAACCTGAGAAACTGGCCCACCTTGACGGTCACCATGGGCAGTCCCCGGTCATCATTTCCAGGCGGTTGAAACTCTGGAGGAGTGCAGACTAACTGCATTTGTGCTAACTGAAAATTCAGTTGGAAATGTACAAATTATTTCCAATTTTATTAAACTGAAGTAAATGTTACATTTTTTTTTACTACATACCGAGGTCACATTGCATTTTTGCGAACCAATTGACACGGTCACGTCGGTCTCGTCGCAAGCTTCGTTCAAGTGCTCTCCCTGCAAGAATGCGAGTAGAATACAAATTAAGCTTAATTCTCCTTGAATAGGGCATGAGAAACGTGGGGAAGAGAGGAAAAATTGGGATTCGTGAATATACATGCACACGGTATACACAGTGAACGAGAGAATAAAGACGGAAATTGGTTCATGCTACGTACCTCAATGACTAGTGTGTCCCCCTTGTACGGTTTCAAGTGATTTGGAAATGGGTAGACGACAGGATCCTCGACGTACACCAACTGACACTTGTCCACCGGAAGATAATTTTGCAGATTCAGCACTGATTCTACGTTGTCCATAACGAAGCCCACTCGTTTCGCAATTTCTGCTCCTCTGTCTGCTCGCCTTCCGGATACAGTGGCTCTAGTGTTTCTCCGAGATCCGGTGTACGCTCCATAGTTTACACTGACTCCGCTAAGCAACTGTTGTTCCCAGTCCGAGTTTATGGGGGGTGAAGGGCACTCCATTTGGCTTGAATTTATGACCGTGCATGTCTAGAAATATGCAAATATAATGTTTCAGTCAGTGCGGTAAAATCACATGGCCCATTATTACAACATTCGCAAAAGTACCCAGTCGTCCCACTCTTAAGACTTACCGTTCTGTTCGACATGGTTTTGGAATGTTGGTCAGTGTACACGACCATCTCAGGACTTTGAATAGCATCCAAATGCGTCCCATGCACAGTGATCATGCGACCCCCAGAGACAAAACTTTTGAATGGTTTGATTTCAACAATGGTTGGGTCGGGCATGTACTGAAATAAGTTGTCATCCTGAAGACCCCTGACTGCGTTGTCTACCATGACCTGAAGTCTGCCCACTGTCTCATTCATGATGGCTTGCGAAGTCGTACAAGTGATTCTTGAGCTGGAAGAGTGGGTTGAGTTCACATGGCAAGGATAATCTTTTAGGTTCACTCGAACGCTGGAACTATAATTCAAACATGGTAAATTAATAAGCGCATAAACATACACATACGAGCATCAAAATAAAATAAAAATATTAGCTACCCAATATTCAAGTGAGAACCCATTATGGTCAACTGGGTTCCTCCACTTCGAGGTCCTTTGTTAGGAGTCACACCAATAATTCGGATGTCCTAAAATTTTCATGCATAAAATATTTCAAAATATTCATAGCAGTTCTTTTTTTGAATAATTAAAATGTTTTGATGTGCTAACCTTATAGCTAAAATAAACCGTAGAGTTTGTGTATCCCACAGAATTTCCAACCTTGATTGGACTGTCCATTTCTCGATCAACTTTTCCAGTTCTGCACACAATTCTCACGGATACCTGCATTAGCATTGATAAATTTTGAGTATAAACTCAACGCTAAATACAGAGGATTGACATCAAATAACATTGAAAACAATATAGGAAATGGAAGCGTATTTTTATAAATACAACCTCCAGCTAAAATTCAGGACTAAAAATAGAAGACTTGGCTTTTTGTGATTTTTACTTTGTTACAAATACAAAAGTGTCCAAATGGATGGATTAGAGAGATAAAAAAAGTCTGCACATTCAAGTGTGCAAACAACCCACACAGCAAAGTTGCAATTGCGAAAATGTCTCCGTCCGATCCGCTCCTAAGTATAACAAATTGTGGCAAAGTAATCCAGGAGAGCGAAATAAAGTAAATATAAAAGGGTATCGAGGTTTCAAAGTAGAGCGGAGGCAGATGGAGAAAGCGGATCGAGAGAGTTTTCATGTAAACATCCGAATTCACACAGTATCCGTTTGTTCCATGAGGAAAGGTGCCCTGGGGGAGAGAAACGGGTCTCTGCCACCATCGTGAGGTCATCCCTCCCCTTCCGAGCACCACCACCACCACCATCAATATTTCCTTCAGGCTGTACAACACTATTTGCTAAACTTAAAATACCCCTGCGGGTCGGAGAGAAGCCATTGATTTCAGCCAGATTTTGTCAGTTTCTTAGAAATGGAGAAGCAGTTTTGATCCAACTTGGGATGAAATTCCGAAATATGTCAACAAGAGATTATCAATATGATTTACGTTGAAGCCAGTATAGTGCCATCATGAAAGACAAAGTGGAACCAATTACTATGCATTGGCTCAGTAATTTCGAATCGAGGGTAAACGTAAATTTTCATTTCTTGTAGCGCATGATATGTGTATATTCTGTATTAAGTATCTGGCCAATACCAGTGCATTTGCTTTCTCCATCTTTTTGTCTACTGTCTGTCTGCAGCGAACTTTAGTTAGCTGCGTATAAGAAGAAGATGGTTGGTTGGTGGAAATAAAGTGAAATTCCCCTGCCAAATCCTCCAGAATGTGATTCAGCTTTATAGTCGCTTGACACAAATACAGAGAATTATTCCAGGACAAGCAAGAAGAAAAACAGTTGCAAATCGCAGTTTGAGATTGAGGCGACTGGATGAAATGACGGAAATAAAACCTAAAAACCGTGTATATTAATTTAATTCAGGGTCGCTGCACTATTGTACGACGTAGTTAGTTGTGTATATATATGTAGTTCAAAAAATAGAAAGGATACATGCACATTGGACAAAGACAAAATTCTAATGAGATTACTCCAACTAATTGTAAGTACTAAATATACAGATCATGAAACAACAAAATACGTCGGATTTTACCTGGTAGTCGACTAATTCGCACGGTACATTTCCAATGTGAATCTTGCCTCGAACATCCTCTTGTTTGAGACCAAGGTCCGACCCCTCAATCGTAAGCAGCGTTCCTCCTTCAATTGGTCCACTCAGTGGTTTAATCTAAAACAGGAAAACATAATGCATTATAAATACATTCATTTCATACACAGGTTACGCAGTGCACATGATGGATGTCCAAATTGCAAGATGAACGTTATTGTTGCATGGTCAGTACTCGTAGTTCTGCACCAGCACATAGGGTCGGACCGTTATAAATATTGGGGTCATCCAAATCATAAATTATGGTCCAATTTAAAGTCCATCCGGCCAATAATTCATAACTAGTTTAATCGAATGTCATTTCGAGCCATTAATAACCGAAAGAGATAAACAAGTGGCGTACAGAGAATGAGCATGTTCGCCGAGTTGAAGGGAGGAAGAAGGTGACGTGATACGGTAGTCGAGTGGTGGACTAGTTGATGTTATGTGTTGCATGTTTTCACCACCACCACCACCCACACCCACCCCATTCACAAAGTCCCGTGTCACTTTCTCACCTGTCATGATTAATCACACGCTCCCCGACATGAAAGTCAACTCCAGCACCACTCCGACAACTTTGGCAACGCAACAACGCGGCACGAGACCAAATCAAACAAATACAATTCCTCAACAACAAACCCAACTTTCTTGGTCTGGAGTTCTCAAGAGGCGGAAATAAGTAGATCCTAGTAGCTTTTCCTCATAGTCCTATAGATACATGCCTCGTCACTATGCACTTGTACATACTTTCTCCTCTCCCACCTTGTTAATGTGATGGCATGTATACGACGGAAAACCAGGACGGAACGCGATATTAATCACCAAGTAGTTCAGCAATACTATTTGAATGTCCTCATCCATCGCGAACTGATATTTATTCAACACTCAAACTGTGATGCATCAATTACTAACCCTTCTCTGCGACGAGAGCGACTAATAAATCACATTTCCCCATTATTACCATTGTTATTACTATTATTCATCGAAATGATAAATTTGACACAAAGTATGAAGAACGAACCAACTGTAAACTTTGCATTCAACAATCGAGGAATAAAAGATGATGATGACACACGCTGCACCTCAACACCAAACCAACACCAAACAGCTTTCTCCCACTTTCTTTTCAACATTTTAATCCTTTTAAATGTGATACCAGAGTAAAATGTTAATCATCTTTTTAGAGTCGTGCAATTCTATACAACAATCAGGACAGTGCATTCTTCTCATAAAGCCTCCCACCCAGTCTGGCATGGTAATCAAGGCTTCTTCCTAAAATGAAGGGAACTTTGAAGAAGAGTGGAAACAGGGCAAGTTCGTTAGTGACTCCGTCTTAGGATTAGTTAGTTGGCTGGCTAGCTAGAGAGAGAGGAAGATGAGATTAAAACGAGTCGTGGGCAGGGGGAGAGAGAAGCGTTGGAGATAAATGGACGGAAGCGGAAGAGGGTGTTACGTTATTATAATAAATTATACGTACAATAACTCACTTTTCTCAGCCTTTCTCTCCTCCAACCTCCCACCCACCTCTGCCGTCTCTCTCTCGCCCCTTGTCTTATTTCATTATTATCTCCACTAACTCGGTCGAAATCTAAATGATCTGAAGCAGATTTAAACTGGAAGCGTCTGTGTTCAATCTATCATCACGGAGAGGCCGGAGAATGAATTAAGACGCAATGAAACGGAAACTAGGTCCAAAACGCTAGTTTTCTTCCAAAATACTTGGTTTCCAACTATGCGTATCAATCAACCCTTCTTCTTCTCTATCACTCAGAATCCGTAACATTGAGCAGAACATTACTAAAGGACGAAAATCACCCCATCCATCCCCTGCTAGCTCATCGGTGTTGTTCAAACTGTTCAGCTGCCTGTTTATCTTCGAATTACGCCATCCGCCCGTGAAAAGCTTTAATCGAAATCAAATCTGCTGGTTCATCCCTACCAAAAAAAACAACTTTTGCGATGATTCCGACAACATGGAGGACATGAACAGCTTACTCACTTTCTAAACAGAAAAATCTAAAAGAAGAGGGATAAGATCAAGTGAGTAAGAAGAAACACAGCCCGTAGTCAGCGTGCATAATGGGTTTGTACATACGTAGATTACCCTGTGCATCCCTTTGTTCCAGAAGACTGAGTCCCGGAGATTGGATAAAACACATCCCTTTGACACTCATGATTGATGAATTAATGAATCTGATTCCTTTATGGCTCGATGCTACTGAACTTTGTTGAAATGCTCGGAAACATTTAGTACAACTTTAAGGAATAGACATGAGTAATCTGAAAATGATATTTGCATCGAAATTAAATTCATAAGCCAATTAAGTCAATAAATGGATTTCTGGTCAATCAGTCTCATTTCATCATCTTCCTTTATGAAGCCTAATTGATCGAAGTGAACACAAATATGTAAACCCAGATCTATTTATGAACATTGTTAAACATTCCAATTAGTTACAGCTCTTATTAAGTTTACAAAAATTGATCCTTTTCCATTTTCCAAGCCGCCAGCACGTAGATGATTCATGCCGCAACAACCACTACTTTGCTATTCGACTAGATACTTGTTAAGACAGAAAGTTGCTCTTCTTTCCGTCTTAATGATGATCGAACTTTATTCGACTGGTTTGTTCTCCACGCAGGAACATCGTTAGCAACATTATTGTAGAAAGTTGTATAAAATTAAACCGCATCAAGATTCAAGATGCTGAAAACTATGTTTCATCACGAATCTCTCAAAATATGTAGGCTTTCTTTATACCAAAACTCTCAACTTTCTTTATGCGCCCAGTAATGAAAACCTCATTAAATGCGTCTTGTACTATCCAGCCTCCTTCAATCTTTCGCCTACGTTGGGGTCGTCGTCGTCTGCGTTGTTGTTTCTCACCCACTCACCCCTCTTCCTCCTCCTGCCAATGTCATCTCCTTCACGGGTTAAACTACTTGTACTCGTCACATTCAGGACACAGCAGCAGCAACACATCGTGAAGGAAAACAAATGAAGGTTTCAATTAAACGAAAATCAATACTACACGGAAAGTCGTCTCCTCTTCAAGCCTCCCCCTCAAAAAGGATCTTGAGTTGGGAAGCTGGAAAGTCAAAGGATGACTTTGGAATAATATAAAAAGACTCAAATTGACGGCGAGAAAGGTCAAATTTAAGCACTTTTCCTATCTGAGCAGCAGAGCTGGTGGGTGCCAACCTTGGAAAGGGGATAAAGACAACAAAAACATGCGGTGGAAAATAACACGCATGTTGTTTCGCCAAAGTGAGCAATCAAAATAAAGGCGTGGAATGAATCATTCCAAAAATAGAAGGATAAACTCAATGACCAAAGTAATTAAACGATTGTGCCACAACACACCAGTCAGACTTGGTATTTAGCTGGTTGTGGGTTAAGTATGCCTACCGGAGTGAGGAGTAAAAGTATGTATAAGAAGTCGTTATACATAGTTGAGGCCTACGCTGTGGACTATGAAGGAAAGGCGAAAGGGGTCGAATCAGGCAAATGATATAAACGAACTGTCGGGAACAGAGGATAAAACAACAGTTATTAATGGGCATCATAAAATTTTCGAAATTTAAGTTGGATATAATTAAGAACTCATCGAAACAAAAGAGTGGGTAATAACAACTCCACCACCGCGACCGCTTTTATCCACGAGCACTCAATTTGTTATCATTTGCTGTTCCTCCGACTGCCTCCCGTCATCTATATTTTCTTGGATATATCTTTCCGCTCCAGCCGAAACGAGGTTTTATATCCCATCGCTACGATTGCCGGTGCCAACAGGCAGCCCAAACTATTTTGGACATCAATTTGCCAACTTTGCTCAAACAAACTTTCCCAACAACATTGCCATTACAATTATAATACATTATTATTATGTGGCTTCCGCAGGCAGGCGATAGTTGTTGGGTGGAAATGGATTCATCGTAATTCCCTTCTACCATTTACGTGACGAGCTTTATCATCTCCGATAGACGGCGTAATTATAGAAATCATAAAATGACTGATTCCGGTTATTTATTATTGACAAATGTTGCCACAGACACCTTTCAAAGATAAGCAGAAGCAATGATTCCTTCCCTCCGTCCAAACATAATTACCTGCAAAGGTTGTCAGACTTTGCTTGCGGGGTAAATACAAATGCGTAGCTGCATGTAAACCGATTCCCGTGTTACCACATAAACTTCAACTCATCCACATTATTTTCATGCCCAACCGAAATCGGGAATACATATTTTGTAACTTTCCCTCCTAAAAGAAATTTTGACGCGAATGAAATTACAAACGAGTTATGAATGATGTTTGAATTCATGTGCTGTCCCATCGAGTGGTGGACCCAGAAAAACACGCGTGCCAAAAATGTTCCGTATAAATAAATACGATAAATGACTGACAAGAGGTGGTGGTGTCCATTCAGTAATATAAATGTGGACAATCTGTGTTCGTGCGTGTGAAAGGTTTCTAAGCTGCATTTATTAGCCTGGAGAGAAACAAACTGGAAAACTCGATGTTGGCCGTTTTGAGCAAGAAATTGCAGTCGTATAGAAAAGCCAGGCAAGGAAAGTTCGGCCTGGTGACTAATACAAATGTCAGTGGTTTAGTTTTCTGAGCAGAGGAAAGGATTTCATGAAAGCAAGCAAACCAACACGGCCGCCGCCGCCTTGGAAATCCACACCTGAGCCCATCCCATTGTTCACGGGTGAGACCAATTTTTCAACGACAAGCTACACAGCCACCATCACCAAGAAAGATGAAATTGCATCGGGAAATGACAAATAACCTTTTGTTTTGGAATCCAAAGCTAACACTGCTTCTAAATTTGCATTGGGTTTCCGAGCCTCCTTCCAGCGAGTAAATGCCGTTGTCAAGGGAGAGCCGAGATTTCAGAGATTTAGATGGATTGGCCAAATAGCGATCTCACTGATGGAACAAGCACCTCTTGCTCTTAACCACTTGGTGAAAGTTCAACTCCATTCCGAAACCTATACCACCACCGCCAGCAGAAAAGAACCACAAATCCTTCTTTGTCACCTAAGCACACTTTATAAATAGGCACCTGACACCAATT